ACTCGTCGTAGTGCGCGGTCATGGAGTATGGGGCCTCCATGGCGCCCCGGCCGGCGCCCCGCGCCCCGGTGGCCGGTCGAGGCCGGCTATGCCACGGGCTTCCGGCCTCCTGGCCGCCGTCCGCATGGCCCCTGGTGTGCAGCTGTGGGAGGCAGAGGCCGACTCACAGAGGCCTGGAGCCAGAGGCTAGAGACCAGGGGCAGGGGGGCGGGGGGGGGCAGCGCGCATAGGCCTGGCCTGTCTTTGCTGCCGGGAAGGAAGGAAGGAGGGGGCTCAGAGTGGGCGCCTTGGCGCGGGGCACAGCCGGGCTTTGTTTTTACTTGACCCCTCTCCACGTGCCCTGCTTGCTTAGGGGCCTGGGGCAGGGGGCACACGGCCTGGCACGTGGTAGCATTTCAGTGGCGGTTTGCTTTGTCTTTCTCTTCCAGCCAGCAGCAGCGTGGAGACTGGGGAATGGGTGGTCTTGTTTTGTGCTCTGAAGCCTCTGACCTTCTTCATGTTGGTCTGGGAGACTTGGAAAAGTACACAAAGAACCCAACTGCCCTCCTGAATACGGAGCTAAACCACCACAGCTCCGACCCGCACAGAGGTTACTGCCTAGAGTGCCTTTCTTCTGACCCTCTCCCACACCCTGGGTCCTCGGAGACTGGGCCCTGTACCCTCTGCAGGAGCTCAACTGTCCATTGGGAACTTCCATGGCACTTTCATGCGGAAGGAGAGGGGCAGAATCCCCTTCCCGCCCCTCCCCAGGACCCTGCAGAGTTTTCTTGCAGGAAGGAAAGGGGGTGGCGGTGGGGGTGGGATGGGCCCAGCTGGATTGGGTCACACAGGTCCCACCAGCCAGGAGAGGTGCTTATGTGTCACCTCTTTTATTGCCTCTCAAACTTGGCCTCCCACACCTCCGCAAATTCCAATACTGGCCTTGCTCTGAAGGTCAGGCTTGCCCCTTCCCCTCCCCCCCCCCAACACACACACTCCAGCTAAGTCCCCACCACAGCCCTGGGATGCAGATATTGTCCTTTTCCATGTCTCAGGCCAGAGAATTGAGGCTTGGAGAAATTAAGGTCAAAGGACATCCG